TTGTATCCGTGCTCCAGCAGGATGGGCGGGATGCCGCCCCAGCCCCGCGCGCAGGCCTCGTGCAGCGCCGTGTACCCGGCGTTGTCGCGGTGGTTCACATCACTGCTCTTTTTCTGCAGGCAGTAGAGCACCACGTCCTGTGGGGACGAGAGCATTGCCAGCGCTGTCAGCACCAACCCGGAGCAGGCGGCCCGGGGGACGCAGCAGTAGAAGGCACCAGACCTCACCTTGTAGCCCAGGCGAGCTGCTCGCTGCAGAAGGGTCTCCCCTGCGTTTTTGTTCACGATCAGCCGCCGAGCGCCGGGAGGAACGTTCTGGGTCGTGGGCAATTCAGGGGAACTCCCTGGGCTGACCCGACGGGACTTACAAAGCGTCCACAAGTCCTGGGGCTTCTTCGAAGGGCGTGCCTTGGGCTGGTTCCAGCAGCCTTTCCCCTGGGAAAGAAAGGAGCACAACTCCTTGGCACACGTGGCCGTGACTTAGGGAGTCCCCTTCTCCCTCCTCTCCCCACAGCAGCCCCAGCCGTACCTTCCCCTCCTCACAGATCCCTGCCAGGTGCTTGGTTTTACACTTGCGCTTTCCTGATGGTTTCTCCAGCTCTTCTTGGGCAGGAGAGCTGTCGGAGTGCTCCAGGAAGAAGCCATTCCGAAAGTCTGGGCGCCCCTGGGACTTGCGGGGTGACGGGGAAAGGCGGCTCCGCAGCCGCAGCTCCGCGCCCGGCGCCGGCTCCTTCTGCTTCCGGTACCGAAAATCTAAGGAGAAACGGGAATGAGGAGCTTCCCCTGAAGTCGTGCAGCACACTGAAGTTCCAATTTATATGCACGCAGGTAGGAAGCACCGGGATGCCTCAAGGGACATCCAGCCCTTTCTTCCTTGCAGGACACAGAGCTGAGCTGCAGGGTGCCCGGTGCGGAGCCCCGCGGGGACAGGAGCTTCCCTGAAATAGCAGCATCCCCTGGGAAGGGCACGGCAGCAACGGGAAAACAAGTGGGGATGAGGAAGTCAAGCCCGGTGAACCTATCACCACCTGGACCTGTGTGATGCCATAGGGATGATGAGTGCTGGAATAAAACAGGTTACAAGGGATGAGCCCTGCACACACCAAAGGACAGAGGAGGCACCTGCACCTGAGGAGCCCCAGCCTCTCAGGTCTGGGTCTCTCCACAGCTTTGGGCTCTGCTTGGCAACAAGGATTTTATTTCTAAGGAAATAGCCAGGAGATGCTCCAGCAGGTTAGTTCAAGGGATCAAGAGGATAAACTCCAGGAATTAAACTACGTCTATATGGACACTGCTGCCTGCAGAGCCAAGGCAGGTTTTGTACATCTCCAGGAGCAGCATCTTCAGCTTCCATGTTGTGCTGAGACCCTGGATTCTCTGCATCAAGCACCACACCCAACTTCCACTCAGGACTTGCTATTGCCAGGAAGCAGGGGCCACGGATCTCACAGAGAAAAGAGTTTGGCCAAGACAGGAAGACACCAGCCTTGCTTCCAACAGCCTCAGACTGCAGGGACAGAGGAAGGAAGGCAGAGACTGGAAACCCTCAGGGACACACAGAACATGCAGTTTTGACCTCAGGGCCGGGGCAGTCATGGGAGGACAGGTAAGAGCAGGTGGCACAGCATGCTCCTCCAGCACAGCTGCGTGTGCCAACCACACAGGGGGCTTCTCCCTCGCTTGCAGACACTTCTACCACTTTGTTCATCCCCTATCCCTGGTGCTCCCTGGTCCAAGCTGACAAGCTACCTCAATAAAGCCAGACAAAGCATAAAGAAGCCCATTTGAATCGTGACAGCTCCATCTCCCTCTGCTTTAGCCAGGAATGCTGAGCACTTCTCCCAGGGGTCCACACTTGTCCAGAAATATTTCACTGTGCTACCCCATCCGATTCTCATTTTCCCACGCTCTCTGTCATAATCTGAGAGCAAGATCAGTATCTAATTAGCCACACAAGCTGCTGTTTCCTACTCCAAAATTAACTGTAAATATTTCTGAAAGAAGAGCTGATCAATTGAAGCAGCCCATGCTGCGGACACCAAACTGTTAATAATGATGGAGCCTCATCATTACAAACCTCCCCGAACCCGCGTGTGCCAACCACACAGGGGGCTTCTCCCTCGCTTGCAGACACTTCTACCACTTTGTTCATCCCCTATCCCTGGTGCTCCCTGGTCCAAGCTGACAAGCTACCTCAATAAAGCCAGACAAAGCATAAAGAAGCCCATTTGAATCGTGACAGCTCCATCTCCCTCTGCTTTAGCCAGGAATGCTGAGCACTTCTCCCAGGGGTCCACACTTGTCCAGAAATATTTCACTGTGCTACCCCATCCGATTCTCATTTTCCCACGCTCTCTGTCATAATCTGAGAGCAAGATCAGTATCTAATTAGCCACACAAGCTGCTGTTTCCTACTCCAAAATTAACTGTAAATATTTCTGAAAGAAGAGCTGATCAATTGAAGCAGCCCATGCTGCGGACACCAAACTGTTAATAATGATGGAGCCTCATCATTACAAACCCCCCCGAACCCCCCCCCCAACGATAATTAAAAAAAAAAAGCAGCAAAACACAAAGACAAGCAACATGCTGGTCTCCAGCCTGGTTCCAGAACCCCCCTCCCAGACTGTACCTGCTTTGGATTTCCGCCGCCTGTGGGGGTAGCCCACTTGCTCCTCCTCTCGCTCAGTCAAATATTCCCCTGTCTGGTATTTCTGACTTTTCTGTCGTCTCCTTTTTTTCCTTTTGATGTGGCTGTCATCTTCCTCCTCCTCATTGGGCTCCCACAGCTGCCTGGGTGACTCCACTCTCCAGGGCAGCTCCCGGGTCCTCCTCGTGTAACAGCTGCTCCTCTCAGACAGAGACCTATCCCTGGCCTTGCGACTGTGGCAGCGTGATGTCCTGTGGGATTTTCGCAGCTTGCGACGTTTCAAGGATGTCTCCTCCTCCTCTTCCTCCTCCTCTTCCTCCTGATCCTCCTCCAGCAACGGTAAAATCTCCTGACCAGTCACATCACACTCTCCCGTCACACCAGCAGAAGAACCAGCGATGTTTCCTGCAGGAAAGTGGGGTTTCTAGGTGAGAAAAAAGCCAAGAGTACCTAGAAGAAAAACCCAGCGAGGCAGGACAGAAGGCAGGGACAAGGCCACATGAACAGGGAAAGGCTCACAGACCACCCAGGACCACCCTCTGGGCCCCCTGATAACAACTCACCCGACTGACTGCGCGTCCGGCTGCTCAGCACCACCGGAATGAAATCCCGAAAGTTGTTCTTGGGCTTCTTCTCCAGGGACCCTGTGGGGAAAAGCCAGCCTTGAGCACTGGCTCCAGAGACCTGCACAGACACCTCTGGGCGGGCCAGTCCCAGCAGCTCCGCTTGGGATCCCAGCCCAGCAGCTCCTGGGGGCCCTCCAGCTGCAGGAAGCGGTGGTTCGCGACCCGCTGCTGTCTTGCCCCTGCCCATCACAGCAGTCCCTTCCTCGTGGCCGTCCCCGCGGCGTCCCGGCGACGGGCACTCGGCCTTGGCCGCCCTCCGGCGCTTGCGCTTGGCCCGCAGGCCGCCGTGCTCCCTGCCCGCACGCCCCTCTCGCGCGCCCAGCTCGTGCGGGCTCTCGTGGTGCTTCCGCCACTGCCAACAGAGGGGACAGGCTGAAGCTGGAGCTGCTGATGGACCGAGTAGCAAAGGGGGAGGGACAAAACACCGCCCCCCACTCATCCTCCCACTGCCCTCCCGTGTTTCTGCCCTCCCGTGTTTTTGACAGCCCGGGTCTGGTTTTGCTCCAGACATGGGTACGCTGCCCCTCTGCCAGGTGAGGCTGAAGGGCAGGGGTGGAAAGCCCTGCACACCTGATGCCCTCCCCTCAGAGCTCCCTCCTCACCCCCAGCCTCACCTGCCAACCCTTCCCCAACCCGACAGTCCCCACCTCCCACCCACCTTCCGGCCATGCGCGCTCCGGCTCCCCGATTTCCCTGGGGAGCCCTCGCCGTCCTGGCCTTGGCACTTGAGTCTCTTGTGGGCCTGCCGGGTGTCCCCGCCGTGTGGCCGCTTGGCCTTGCAGCGCACGCTGCCCTCCTGCTTGATTTGTCCCCCTCCCTTCAGCTTGGCCTCGGCAAAGGCCTGGGGAGCAGCCCCAGTTCGCAGGCAGGTCACGGAAGCAACGGGCACGTCACCCTCCACTCGCTCCTTCTTCACCCGGCACAGCTCCACCTGGCGCGCGCACTTGGGGGGCTCGGTGGCCGGTGGCTCCTGGGAGCCCTCGCAGCCCTGGCTCTCCGTGGGCTCAGCTGGTGCCTCTGAGAACACCCGCAGGCCCTGCTGCCCCGCCCGCCGGGCATGCGACAAATACGTGGCTAACACTTGGTTCTTAGGCTTTGCATCCAGCTGTTTGAGGCTACAGCTCCCCTGGGGACCCTCAGTCTGAGCACTGCCCTCCTTACTGGAGTCAGGCTCTGGCTGATTGCACTGTTGACTCTTCTGAGGGTTGTCCAGCTTGCCCTTCCCACCTTTCGCTTCCAAAGCACTGGTCTGAAGAGCTGGACCTGCATCCAACGGGACTGGATTGCCCGGCTCCTCGTAGAGCTTGGGCAAGGGCCGGCAGCTCTTGCTCCTGGCTGCAGCTTCCCGTTCCTGAGGTGGGAGCCTGGGCAGCCCCCCCGGCACGCGCTGGGGGGCAGTGCTGGACTCTGCGGGTGGGACGGTCGGGCTCGTGGGCGCGTGGCTCCTGGGAGCCCGCGCAGCCCTGGCTCTCCGTGGGCTCAGCTGGTGCCTCTGAGAACACCCGCAGGCCCTGCTGCCCCGCCGGCAGGTCATGCGACAAATACGTGGCTAACACTTGGTTCTTAGGCTTTGCATCCAGCTGTTTGAGGCTACAGCTCCCCTGGGGACCCTCAGTCTGAGCACTGCCCTCCTTACTGGAGTCAGGCTCTGGCTGATTGCACTGTTGACTCTTCTGAGGGTTGTCCAGCTTGCCCTTCCCACCTTTCGCTTCCAAAGCACTGGTCTGAAGAGCTGGACCTGCATCCAACGGGACTGGATTGCCCGGCTCCTCGTAGAGCTTGGGCAAGGGCCGGCAGCTCTTGCTCCTGGCTGCAGCTTCCCGTTCCTGAGGTGGGAGCCTGGGCAGCCCCTCCGGCAGGCTCTGGGGGGCAGTGCTGGACTCTGCGGGTGGCACGTTCGGGAACATCGGGAGCTCAGCTGCACCAGCTGGCTTGCAGGAGCCGCTCTGGTTCGGGGGCAGCTGCCCCGTCGTGGAGATGCCAATTGAAAGCAGAGGGGTTTGATGATAAGGAGACCAGCCAAGAGGCAGAATCTGAGGGCTGGAAGGTTTTCCATTCATGGGGCATCGCGGGTATACAGTTCCCTGGCCAGGATTCCAAGTGGAGATGTCCTTGGATTGACACAAAGGAGCTCCGGGAGCAACTCTGCCATGAAGAAGTCTCTTGGCAGGATCCTGCTGTCCTTCCGTGCTGACCTGGTTGGGTTTCTTCCCACAGGGAACACCGGTGCTGCGAGGCTCTCCCTGATCGATGATGGAAATGGGCTCCTGCTTGGGGAGGTGGCGCGGGTCCCTGCTGAAGCTGACCCCGGGCTCCTTGCTGAGCAGCAGCGAGGCAGGCACAGGGTTGGCCACGCCGACGTAGGTGCCCGGGATGGTGCTGATGAGCGTGGTGTTCTTCACCCAGGAGCCCTGCTCGCCGTTGCGCAGGAACTCGGGGAAGATGACCAAGGGGGGGGTGGTGCCGAGGCAGGAGGTGACGCTGCTGCTCGCCTGGGCCGCGCGCTGGGACTTGGACAGGACGGTGGTGAGGAGCGCTTTGCCGCTGGTGTGCACGGGGGTGAGGATGGGCATGGGGGGGGTCTTGCGCTGGTCTTGCGCTGGCTGGGCGGGGGCAGCTTCTGACGGTTGGACTTGGAGGAGAGATCCAGAGGCATCTCGCTGCACTCTGGAGAGGTGACCGTCTCGCGCTCCAGCTGCGGAGGGGACTTCAGAGGAGAGAGTGAAGTGGCAGCCCCTCCTGCC